ATAGTTAGAAAACTTTAGTAGTAACCCTAGAGTCTTAAGATCTTTCCGAGGCAACATTTCTGAGGAAACATTCGAATAGAACAATTTGATCTTTTTAGACTGGAGGGCAACCACTAAAATCTCCTATGCTTAATGATTGTTTACCGAAGGCAACCGAAGTGAGGTAAACCCTAGGAGTGAATACGTGCATATGATTTGTTTCAGTTATTTAATCTTTGCACATTAGGTGATCTACCATTTTAATTTCAGATATTCTTGCCATACAATCCTATTAGCATACATCTAGATAGTTAAAACATTTGCAGGAATTTAAAAGTGCGAGAAAGTAAACCTTGCTATTACAAGGCTTTGACAGTTACATAATTGTCTCGACTGAAGATAAAAATGCAAAATTTAAAACCCTAATTAAAACTATTACAACCTCGAAACAATTACAATAATGATAAGACAAATAAAAGTGTGTGCGGTAAATTAAATACGAGGGAAGTTGACAACCCTAGAATCTAATTACAAGAATGATTAAGTTATTTTTTTGAGAAAACAATTAAATTAAAAATTAATTAAACCTAATTTCTAATTGTTTTTTTTTATTATGAAAGAAATTAAATTAACCTAATTTACTAATTAAATTAAAGAAATAAATATTTATGAGAAAAATGATTTTGGTGTATTTTTGAGGAAAATTAGCTAAGTTATGTACAAATAAAATCCTAAGTCTAATTATTTTTAATTATATAAAAAAATATCAAGTTGCCCTAAGTTAAATTAAACTAACTAATTTAAAAATAAATGTATCATTAAAAAATAAGATTTTTGTGATTTGTGATTTGTTAATAAAAAATAATTTTGTGTTAATTAAAAGAAGAAGAAAATAATTAAAGAAAATACACAAAGAAATTAAAGAAAGAAAAAAAAAAGAATAGAAAAATAATAAAATGGGTCTGTTGTTGAATTGCTGAAGGGGGTGTGAAACTGAAATTCCAAGCCCAATAATGTTGAGCCCAGTCAACCACGCTGGATCCTGTGCATCATTGACTTAAGATGCATCATAGTCCTTCAGGCTAGGACGCGTTGGATTTAATGCTATGCTGATCAAGTGGTTGGATGATGATGACACATGGTAGGCGTGTGAGAGAGAACTGCATGGGATCTGCTGAATGAAATTAAAATAAAGAAAACGTTGGGACCTGGGATCGAACCCAGGTCCTTATGCCTTGAACCAATGTTGCGCTGCCAGCTGAGCTATTGTTGTTAGTTGTTGTTACAGTAATAATAAAACATAATATAATGAAAACAAAAGAGTTGATCCCAAAGCGCGCGAGATTCAAACGGACGAATGGCTGGCTGACACGCACCTTCTTCTTCCTGGAACTGTCGTCTTAGGTTTATGAACTTTTAGCTACAGACACAAGCATGTAGCTACAACCCTGTGAAACTCAAAAATCTCATACGAGCATGATAAATTAATTGTGATGGTACCAATCAACTCGTCTTGGCCTCACGAGCATCATGGTACCTCATTCATAGCCTAATTTTTCCTGCATCAAGATACCCTAAAAAAAACATAAAAACCCTAACAATGGCAGGTGCATGTATAAGCTTCAAAAATGCAATTAAATCATCCAGTTAGCTTACAAACATGATAATAATCACATATATGAAAATTAAAATTGCTAATGATGCAAGAATTGGGATAATCGATTCTGGAAAAAAATGCAAACCATGTGAGTTACAATTGGTGTTTCTGGGCGTTTCAGACCTTGCAAATGGTTGGAATAGCTTCCTGAGACGTCCAACAATGGATTGGGATAGCTTGGATAGCTTGAGATGGCCTGGGGAATGGAAACCAATTCACACTTTTTTCTTTGAATTTTTGAATTTTCTCTGGCTCTTTCACGACTCCAACCCTTTGTGTCTTTGATCTGCAATTGTTATGCACTTATAGTAGACTGAATTAGGTCAATAAAATTGGCATGAATCTTGAGAGATAATGGAAATTGGATTTGATTTTATCTTGTATGATATATTTCTAAAATAAGCTTCAATCCAATCTTTTTCAATCCAAATCCACTTTGCACGAATTGGTTGGCATGTTAGTTGTACATGGACTTAAAATGTGCATAAAAAACCAAGGATTTGATTTTATCTCATTATTTTACTATTTTATATTGATTTGTTTTGATTTAAATGAAATAAAATCAAAATAAATAATAAAAATAATAGAACAATAGGTGGAAAAGCTCAGGGGTCGTGGGTCCTATTAGAAGCATGTTTCAAACAAGAAAACGTGGGCCCCTTTGGAAAAAATGCAAATTTGATCAATGTTGACACTACACATCTCTCTCAATTTTGACCCTAGGAGGATTTTATTGGACTTTTTAGAAATATTAGGATGTACCCTAACCAACTCTTTTGGTTTAATCTCAATTGGATCTTCCATGTTCATGTATGAAGCTTTGACCCAAAATGTGTTTTTGTTGACTTTCAAAAGGACCTATAATGTAAAAATTCATATCTTTTGATGAGTGCATATTTTGAACTTGTGGGATGAAGAATAATTGTAGGGAATTGCATCCTCTTCAAAATGAGCCTTGGATGGAAAATTTCTGATAAAGTATGAAGAAGTTATGCTTGGTCAAAGTTGGGTTGACTTTTCCTACAAAACCCTAATTTAGCAACTTTTGGGTTTTGATGAATTTGGAGCATTCCTTGAGGAATCATGATCAACCCTTGATAAAATGATGGAATTCACTTCAAAATGTTGATGTTGACCAAAAATATTGAGGTTTGACTATATATGGGCCACAGTTGACTTTTGACCTAATACAATCGATTCTCAAGCATCTGAGCAGTTGACTGAGCAAACTTCTTTTGCAAGGCATGAAACTTGACATGTAGGGTCTTGAGAACAAAGTAGGAACTTGGGAATAATTTGAGTCCTTTGTGGTTCACACATCTTGATGAAAAGGGAAACCCTAATTTTAGGTATACTGCCTTAGGAGAGAGTTTCTCTAGTCAACTCTTGGACTTCCTTGAGCAACTTGGGGACCTCAATTGACATTTGTTGAGTAAAATGGGAGGGCAAATTTTTGGGTACAACAATGTGATATGAAGTGTTTAAAGGGTTTATGGGAGAGTTTTCAAGGTCGTACAATAATGGGTTGAGGATTTTTCTATTTTGTGAGTGAAAATAGAGTTGAAGATGAGTAGAGTTTTTTGAAAATAAGCTGAGTTTTACAAAAGTTCTGTTTTTCTCTTCTCTCTTTTTCTCTCCTAAAAAATCCCCCCTATGTCTTATGAAACAATCCCTTTTATAGATCCTTGACCGAGGTTTAGGATGGAAACAAAATAAGTTATTTTAAACTGTTTTTGCCTACTGCTTTGATACTTTTTCAACACAATTTTCTATAGCCATTTGGTGCAATTTTGTGGCTGTTATGATGCAGGTTGGAGCATACTGCATAGAGAAATTCTGGACTGTATAGGACAACATATGCAGGTTTTTGTGACAGGTTTATGGTGCAGCATAACACAAGGTTTTTTGTAGGACAGCAATGGAGCAGAGTTTTGGAGTGTTGTGGCAATGTATAGAAGTAGCATATCATACTTTGTTCAGAAATAACTTTGACAACATAGTTTACAACATGAAACAAGTTTGGTTTGTGGAGAAATTTATGCAAATTGTATCAAAGACAAAGCATTGTGGCAAGGTTTTGAGTTAAAGAAAAAATTCCAAACAATACAAGGTTTAGGATTTGTAAACTTGCAAAAATGCCACTTTGTAATAACTTGAATTATTTGTAACATCTTGAACTATTTTGAATTGTAGTGACAAGATGTCATGAAGCAATGGACTTAAGTTAGAAAAATTTCCAAGTCTTACAAAAGTTGGATCTTTGACTTTCTTGATTTTTGATGATCAAATTTCATATTTTGGATGTCTTGATGAGATATGATTTTTGGGACTGAACTTTGGTCAAAAAGTCAAAGTTTGACTTTTTAGTGTACAATTGACTTTTCCCACCAGTTGACCGAATTTTGTCTATCAATGCACTAATCTCAGGAGATAAATTGAAATGTGCAATTAGGTCAAAACTACGCGCTCAGGTCCTTGAGATCATGCTTCCAACCAATAAGCCAGGTATTAGGTTAAAAATCAAAGTTCGGTCATTTTCAGTCAAAAACCCTAATTTTGCTCATTTTGCCCTTTTGGTAATTTGAATGACTTTCTTGGAAAATTGTAATCCAAGACTTGAAACTTGAAAAAAATAATCCCGAGGGTCCATAATTATCCATGAAAGTCATTTGAAACATTAGAAATCCAACTGCCTTTGTACAAACTCAAACCCTAATTTGAGGCATCAATGCTGAGGAGATTATTTGACCTAGTCGATACTTGTGCAAACTTGAGGCATTGAAGATCTTTGTAGAAAATATCTTAAGAAATGAGAGGGCAAATTTTGGGGTACAACAATAAGATTCCCAAATGATTTCACGATGAGATAATTTAAAGCAGCGACAACATCACCATCTTTAATAACAACACGCTTTTTTATTAGAATAATTGTACAAATCTTTTTTTTTGTAAAACCAACATCATTAAATCCACCCATTTGAGCAACCATGTATCCCATTATGTGACACATTCTGATTCCATATGATTGAAGACCATTAATTTAAGTTCTATGTGTCTCAGATATTTGACGATAACTGGGGTGTAAATGCCCAAACTTTGATGGAGTTAATTCATGATTATGAGCCTCTTAAAAAATTGACACTACAGATTTTAACTTTTTGGCTTTGTAATGCAAATGGCGCCTAGCTTCGCAACTAGTACGGGTCAGCTGTTGGTGATCTCTTTTCCTATCTACCCTAGCTAAGTGCTTCTTGTGTTTTAATCCATGTTTGTTGCATACATACTTCCTCATTACTACTATTTCACAACCTTCGGGGCCTCTTCGCCTAACATCGCTTTTCCTAATGACAAAACCATTATATTTTCAATACCTATAATAGAAGCCACAAGCTTCACTCACAGGTCCAAATTCCTTAGCACAGATTTCATCGAAAGTAATCGAATTTACACTCACCACTCTATCGCTCACAATTGCTTCATTATTAGACATGTCCATTCCATCTGATTCCTCATCATCGTCATTATCAGAATCATCTTCATCATTTGAACTTTGATGGCCACTAGATACAACATCATTAACATCTTCATCACAGCTATATTCAGCATCAGATGAATTAGTGTAATGAATATTGTTCAAATCAACCTCAAAGAACCGTCGTAGTTTTTCATATGAAATCGGCCAATATATAACACAACATAAGTCAACACCAATCATAAAACCTAATTCCCAAATCGAAATGAAATCTTAACCTACATATTGAGTAACTAACAATTTATCAAATCAAAATCTTTAATTTTGAAATCTAAATAAAGACAATGGCATCAATCAAATAACCAAAATCTCAAATTGAAGTAAAAATTTTCCAACATAATTAACAATTAACATATTGAAAATCAGAATCATTAAATTTGAAATCCAATTACAGATTACAACATCAGTCACAAAACCCAATTCCAAAATTAAAATAATCATTAAATACTAAACCCAATTACTTTAGTAAATCAGGAATCAATACGAACTGTGTGAGGACCGTGATTGTATGGGATACTATTGAAGGTTCGCTTGTTGAATAGTGTTGGGAAGAAAACTCACAATTGCCAAAGAAGAAGCTGAAACATGCGTTTGTTAGTGGTCATTTTAAGATTGCGACGAAAGAAGATGAATATGGATAATAAAGAAGATGAAGTTGTTGTTGGTTGGGGAAAGAAGATGAACTTTACTGACAAAAATTTGAAGAAGATGAAGTTATCGTGACAAACATTTCATTAGTTTTATTAATTTTGATTTTGAAAAATAAAATGAAATTTGATGTTAGAAAATAATATATTGAATGGATACTAAATGAGACTTAGTTGCAAATATATTAAGAGTTAATTTCAATATTAACAAATATAAAGTTCCATTAATGAAATAAATGACCAAACTAGTGCAAAGGACTCTTTCTCCATCACTCAATTAAAATGGTTTTCCAAGAAAGAATTTTCTATGAATGAAAAACAGATAAACCAACAGTTTAATACTATTCATGTTGATATATTTATTAAAGATAGAAAATTCATGGAATCATCATTCGACAATCCTCAACAAAGAAACATGTTTTTATTTCAAGTACAATTATTAAACCTCACAAATTCTCCAAGAGTTGTAGCATGTTATTACAAAGCTGATTCAAAACCCCAATTAATGATTTCATGTGTTTCAACCAATTCTCCAGTAGCAGCAGAAAAACCAACTCTAACCCATTCAGGTAGAACACTCCTCAAATCAACAACAAATGAGACACTAGTTGGAATCCTCCCAGTCCCAGGATAAGCCACAGACACTTTCAGTGTTTTAGATTCGGAGTTATAGTTTATACTCACTTCTCCTAAAGCATTTTTGGGCACAAAGTTAATAGGCCAAGACGTAGTTGCAACTGAATCAATAGAGCCAACATCAATTCCAACGTGAGGATACTGAGATGGTGAAGCAGGATCCCAGCCATTTGTGAAACTATCAAACTCAATAGCTATTATTGGATTTTGAGTTGGAATAAGCGCGGTTTCTGGGTTGAAAAGACCGAGATAGCCTCCACTAGAATTTTTAGGTAATTCGAAACTAAGTGGTCCAATAAAGAAGGTAAATCCGTCTCCATGGAGTTGAGAATTATTTGTATTCACTATGAAGGAAAAAACAGTGGAGAAATCGGCTAACTCTCCACTGTTTTTATCCCATATGTGAATTGGTGTAAGATACGTTGCACGTCCAACGCTCTTTTGGAGTGGTTTACCATATTGGTCGGTTTTTGTTAGTCTTAGAACTCCACCAGAGATTGAGGCATCTGCCTGGAGGAATATGTCGGGGTTTTCCACCTCGAATCGTGTTAAGGTGAAAGCAACGGATTCGAACTGTGGCGCTTGTGGTGATTGTGAATATTGTGAATGGACATTGTTGTATTGTAGAAAAAGAGAAATAATGAAGATTTTAATGAGTGTTGAAGAAAAAGCCATTTTATGATACAAGAAAGTTAGGGAAGAATGTGGTTATTTATAGGGTTGTTTTTGGTTGGTCGTGTATCAAAATAAAGTAAAATAAATCGCCGGAATGAATACGACATGGAACTTACATAGTGTTGGTGTGTGTTACCATTTGCCAACTAAGGGGGGGAAACCAAGGAAAAAAGCTACAAACTTATAAGGGTTTGGGGTTTGCATATGTCTCTTTTGAAAACGACATGGTTTACAAGGCAACAAAAAGAAGTGGGGGTGTAATTATAGAGGGATATGCTCACATATCATAGCAACAAATATCATTAAGAATATAGCTTGCAATTTAAAAATGTAATCTATTTAAGCGGCATAAGTTTATAACTAGTGTAATACTAATTCATATTTGGTATTAGTCTCTCTGTGTCTTGAGTCTAAAGAATTTCTTTAGCCGAAAAATATAAATGATATACTTTGACAACAAAAGCATTGCACGTTGGATAGTAATATAACATTGTTGTTGAACTTAAAAATTAATTGGGATATCGGTTAAGAGTCTTATATTGAATAATATATGACTTGAACACGTGCAGTCATATTTTTCAATATGGTATCAGAGTCTGATTTAAGATCTGGTGGACCAACTACTATCTGGTTCCGCTATCAAGTCACCCACTATTTATTTTCACGCTCTAAATGTCCATTCCTTAGAATGAGGCAGTGTATTAAGAGTTTAACATGAGACAATATATGACTAAGCTAGAACATGTTTTTATAAGTGAGGGAAACCTCAACCTACAAGCTCATTTTGTAGGGTTGAATTAGGGCAAACCACATTTTTTAATATTGTGTCAGCCTGATTTTTAATATCGAATAAAACTCTTAATTGTTAGTTTTTTACTTAAAACTTGTTGATTTATAAACATCAATACCTTAAGGTTAATGCATAAATATTATGGTTAGAGATTGAACTCGGAATCAACAACTTTCATCAATTTAATTCAATTAGCACTTTATTGTTTTTATGACAAGTATAGTAATATATAATCAAAAGTGAAGGTGAAGCTTGTTGAAATATTAAAATAGATTAAATTAGATTTGATTAGATTTAAAATTTAAATATAATCTAAGTTGTGTTAGCCTAAGCCCAATTAGATTTGTATATAAATAGGCATAATATGTATTCTTATTTTGTACAATTCATTAAGTGAATAATAGAATTCTTATTTTCTTTATTCTTCTCTCTTTCTCTCCTCACTAAAAGTGTCTTACAAACTAACAAATTGGTATCTAGAGCTTCCAGTTATTGTTCTTGATCGAGTTTTCAAGAATTTCACGTCAGAGATCGTGTTTCCAGGGCAAGTGAATCAACTGCTGCGGAGATGGCTAGTGATAAGGGCATTTTGAATTCTCTTACAATACTTGACAGTAAAAATTGGATCTGATAGAAAAAAAAGATGCAATCCTTGTTTGGCTTCCATGAAATCCTAGAAGTGGTTACTGACGACGTTCCTGCATTAGCTGCAAATGCAATCGATGAACAGAAAAAAACCCACAACAAAGTAAAGAAGAAAGATTGTAAGGTTGCTTATTGCATTCAGATGACGGTCGGCGCTGCTAACTTCAATAGGATTTCTCATACTGAAACGGCGAAGGAGGCATGAGATATTTTGGTGAAGTATTACGAAGGAGGCATGGGATATTCTGGTGAAGTATTACAAAGGAGGTGAAAAGGTCAAGGTTGTCAAGTTACAAACCTTGCATCGACAATATGAGTTGTTGTCGATGGGAGAAGACGAAAGAGTTGCAGAATATGTGTCGAAGGTTCAGAAACTTATCCATCTCAGGAAAGGTTGTAGTGAAACCATAACTGATAAGATGATAGTTGCGAAGGTAATGAGAATGTTAACCTCTCACTTTGATCATGTTATCGTAGCTATTCAAGAATCTTTATGGGGTGAAGCTGGTTCGACTGCAGTTTATATCCTGAACAAGTGGCATACAAAGATATTGAAGAACAAGGTTCCTGAAGAAGTCTGGAGTTGTAACACCCTTCTAAACCCCAAGGAATATTCACAATTATTTCAATAAATAAATCAGAGTATGTCACCAAAAAGGGTGTCACATCTTCTAATAAAACGTCATAACAACACATCCCGCTCCATAATACGGGTTTTTAAAACATTAACAAGATATAATCAACATTTTGTTCTTCAAATCATGGCAGGGGAAATCATAGTTCAACATATCTCATTATAATACTTCATAAAATTCAGTCATACTTCATAACTCATACTTATAAATCAAAACGTCTCGAGTACCATGTAGGGTGACTCAACATCTTAAAATAAAACAAAGAACATAAGTTCCAATCATTCGATCACAACCCCGATGTTACATATCAGAGCAAGACCCTCTTTGTTCAACAAAAGCAAATAAACACACTCCAAAGCTATCCTCTCATGCTTCTACGGACTATTCTCGATCACCTGTGCGTTGCCAACGTGGAGGCAACATTCAAACAAAAAGGGTGAGTAAATCATAATCATTATATAAGACATAAGGAATAGACATATTAAATATGCACATAAGCAAGGTTTCTCACATCCTCATATCTTCATGTTATACTCACTCCTTCACAACATCATCATTACACGAACACATATCATCATACACAATGTATCATCAAGCATCACAAATAAATCATTATGCAATGTCACATAGAGTTTAATGCAACATCATAAACTCATGCATGTGGTACCAAAACTTCACTGATGACTCAATCATCGTTATCTCCAAAGATCCCCACCATAGGATCGATTCCCGCTTGGAACCAGAGCACTTCACTCTTGCACCCAATCCACACTATGGTATTATTTCCTTCACTGAACAATCGTCCTATCATCTTCACTGGACCAAAGTCGTAACTTCACTAGACCTAAGTCCTAACTATGCCATGAATTCAATGATGGGTAACAACATATTAAATACAACCACAGCTAGTCAACACGTATCACAATTAATGATTCATCACAAACATCATCATATCATCATAGAAATCAACACAACCTCATGACATCGTCATAGTAATCAACACAACATCATAACATCATCATAGTAATCAATACAACATCATAACATCATCATCATCATAAACAAAGCATAATCATAAACAAAACATCATTTCGATTAAACACGGGGAACCTAGTTCTATTCTAACTTAGGTCTCGGAGATATACTCTTTAATTATCATTTTTCTCCATATAATTAAATTTCATTGCGTTAGCAATCCACCACTTCGAACGACACCTCAATCCGAGCTCTAAAACTAAAGATATGATCATTCTAATATTTCCAACTTGGATAACCAATTCTCCCTTCCGTCGCTTGGAGACACCCTTTTGTCACCTAGCTATGATACCTTCACGTCAAACTTTGCCCAACGACGCTTTTTTGCCTGGCAACACTACCTTCGTCGCCCGACGACATAGCGCGAACATGGTTTTCCAGTTCTGATTTCCTACATAAACCAATCCAATTCTCTTGCGATTTTATCATGTTATAGGTCCTAAAACACCATCTAATCACAGGGTTTCATCATCTATCAACAACATATAATTCTATACTCAATATACACCATTATTCATCACCAGTTCATCAGTTTCTCATCAAACAACATCAAATCACCATCTACCAAAACCTAAGGCAATCTACCAATCATCTAAACCTAAAATCAAACATAATAACAATGATAAAGCTCCCCTACCTTAAGATTATAGAATCAGTTCAACTTCTCTTTGGTTCTCTACCGAAATCTCTTGCCTCTTTGTGCCCTAGCCTCCTTTCTCCACAACGTCAGTTTCTTTCTCCCAATTCTACGATAGTTCAACAATGACTTTCTTCTCCCCTAATTCCTCGTATAACCTTTAGACCTCTAATATCAAACTTATCACTTTTTCCATGCTTATTTTCCACTAATTACCATCTTGCCATTATTTTCACTACACTTCTATTATTCTATTTTTCCCAAAAAATAATTCTAAACAATTATTCTAATTATTCCAAAATACTAATAATCCGCTTAATTAGTCTAATTCTCATTATGCTACACATAGAAAACCATCATACATCATATTCATCCAAACATCATATTTAAACATCATATTTATCTCAATCATCATGGTACACTTCATATTCATCATACTATCACGAATCACTATAAAGGATCACATATAATCATCAAGACATCAAACACTTCACATTGACTCATATAATCATGCAAAATTAATAAATTAAATAATTAATCTAGAATACAGGGTGTTGTATCCCAAAATCCCCCCCCCCTTTTCTCAATACACTTCTCTCAAAGATCCTCAATGGCTCAGGCTTGCACAAGTGTTGACTAGGTCAAACCACCTCCTATGCACTGAGACCCCAAATTAGGGTTTTGATTTTCACAAATACAATTGTACTTATAATTCTTCCAATGACTTTCATGGTTTATTATAGACCCCCAAGAATGCTCATACCAAGTTTTATGTCTTGCATCTCAAAATTGCTCAATCAATTGCTCAGATGACTGAAAATCAGTTGTATTGGTTAAAAAAGTCAATTGTGGTCAACTTACAGTCAAACTTCAATATTTTTGACCAATATCAATATTTTGAAGTTATGTTCATCAATTAAATAAGTTTGGATCACAATTCCTCAAGAAAAGTGTTTAAATCATCAAAGGGGCAAAATGGTCAAAATTAGGATTTTGACTGAAATTACCGATTTTTTACTTTTGACCTAATAAATGATCTAATGGCTTGAAGCATAATCTTAATAATTCAAGTACAAAATATTTATCTAATTTCATGGTTCAAAACATTTCTCAAGATCAAACAATTGATAATTGAAATTTGGTCTACTGATGAAAAAGTCAACTGATACACCAAAAGTCAAACTTTGAATTTTTGGTCAAAATTGAGTTTCAAAAGTAAATATTCATCAAGACATTAAAAAGTATGAATCTTTATCAT